CTGAACTGAACGGAATTGAATATTTTATTTGGCCAAGTGTGATTAGACACACAAGGAATTTGTCTCTGGTACAGATCCTCAGTGTAACATGCAAAGCAACAGAAGATAAGAAGGATAAATAGTAATACTACAGGCACAACATTTGGGTTGCTATACATAGACTTGATTGATTTATTTGGCTTGTATGCCGCCCAATTCCCGGAAGACTCAGGGCGGCTAACAGAAGGGGAGGGGGTACAAAAATAAAAATAGAAAACAGGAATTTAAAATACAACAACAGTCATAACCTTGGATGGGGGCTGGATAGTTCAACAGCCCCAGGCCTGCCGGAACAGCCAGGTCTTAGTTGATTTGCGGAAGGCCGGAAGGGTGGTAAGGGTCCGGATCTCAACGGGGAGATCGTTCCAGAGGGCCGGAGAAGCCACAGAGAAGGCCCTCCCCCGGGGAGTCGCCAGCCGACATTGACCGGCAGATGGAATTCGGAGGAGGCCTAGTCTGTGGGATCTATAGACATAAGATGGCACTGAGAGAATTAGGTGTTCAGCAGAGAGATGTCATGAGGGAAAAGTTATGTTCCCCCTTGGGAACAGCAAGGTAAGACTTCAAGGATTCTGACAGAGGTCTGACCTGTGCTTACTGTAGTGCAAAAACTTTTAACCAGTGGTGAAATTCTATTTTTTTTACTATCGGTTCTGTGGGCGTGGCTTGGTGGGCATGATGTGGCTTGGTGGGCGTGGCTTGGTGGGCATGGCAGAGGAAGGATGTTGCAAAATCTCCATTCCCACCCCATTCTGGGCCCAGCCAGAGATGGTATTTACTGGTTCTCCGAACTAATCAAAATTTCCTCTACCAGTTCTCCAGAACCTGTCAGAACCTGCCAAATTTCACCTCTGCTCTAAAAGTAGGCCCCTCTTAACCCTTCGCTTCAGACTAGCTGGAGATTCTACCCCAAAGATATCCCAAATCCATAAAAAGCTCTATAGCTGCATTTAGAATTTGTATTTACAATCATTACATATCAGGTCTGAAAATACTGTGAAGGGACAAGATAGGAAACAGGGAAATTAAATGACCTACCAACAGTTGTAGATTTCATATACAATGTACCGGTAAATATAAAAACGAGTAGCAACTACAAACCAGATACTTTTCAAGTTAAACAACCACTTGTGCAAGCAAATAGATCAACATCATGAGTTGCTTGAAAATAGTGAAAAGTGAGTATGAAAGCAACTAGATATCATGTCAAAAAAAAACACCCAACCCTGGAGGAATCCCTCCGGACAAATGATTTTTTTTTCTTCTGCTTATATGTCAGTTCTCAGTTCTGTTCCTATTAATAACTAATATGTGGCATGATGTTTCAACAGATTTATCAATTGCAAGAGTTAATGATGTGTCTCCCTACAGCACAGACTGGAAAGGAAGGTCAAATCAGGGTCAATAGCTGTTTTGTTTTGTTTTTGTTTTAATGAAACCAAGAACTTTTGTAATCTCCACATCTGCTGCAGCTGCCATAACTGAGGAACCACTGAGTTTTTTCAAGTTCCATCTACTCACAAAGCATCCCTTTTGAGCCAGCTTTTCAATTAGCAGCTCCCACTCTTCCTCGGAACAAGAGCATGCTTTTCTTTTTCCCCTCTCTTGTGCAATAAAAACTCCAGACATTTCCATACTTCACTAGGACGCAAAGGAAGAGTTGGAAAAATACTAAATGTTTTTTAAGTGATTCCACATGGCACTCCAGAGTATGCGGGAGCTTAAAAATATGTTTCCAGTTCCCCCCAGTGTATAGTTATTCTCATAGACAAAGTAACTTCTAGCTATCTTCCCACAAAGATTAAACTGGCAGCAAACAAGAAATTTTCCCGCCAAGAGCCATAATATGGGCCAGAACAAAGGAACACCCAGCTGCCTGATTCAACTCTACTCCAAGCAGTTCTGCTCCAGGGAAATGAGAGGAATTTCATGAACCCATGGATTCTTCCGTAGACTACTTATCCAGCACAATAGAAACACACAGCTACTTTCTACCCTGCACATACTCCATGATGCTTGATTTTGATAAGGGGTTGTAGAAATCTTGAGGGGTGATGTAAATTAGAGAACTATGCAGAACCCGCTGAATTGACTCAGATTTTATCATTAAAAGCACTTAGCTTGCATTGTCCCTCTTCCTCTTGCTTGCTTGTTCTAATCTACTTTTGGTATGGACCAAAAAGAGCTAATGTTTTCTGGATTATGCAGTTATTCCTTTACACATCACCATTCTCTTTGTTCTTTTAGCCTCTCTCTAATATAAACATACAGTATACACTAAGTTAAAGCACTAAGTAACATGAATGAAAAAAAATTATGATTATACACTGGGCTTATTTTGTCAGTATGATTGATGTACTGTATTACGGTACGTACTTCTACTGGTTTGATGGGGCACAGAACCTATAGTAGCTAGAACAAAAGATTAAAGTAAGTGGAGATGATTGTATCAAACTGTACTTTCTTCCACTTTCATCTCTTGAAAGAATGTAATTGCACACATTTTGTAATTACAAACCATCTAACTAAGCTGAGGTTGTTATTAATAGTAATCCAGAAGGATAGGATGATATACACTGGAAGAAGAGCAGTGGTGGGTTACAACCGGTATGCCCCGGTACAGGCATACTGGTGCCTGCCGGGAGTACCAGGTACTGTTGTGGTACGGTGCTCCAGAGGGCCCACCCGCCTGCCCGCACTCCTTACTGGCATTCGAAGTTTTTGGAGTCTCCACTCAGATGGTATATGCCACCAATACTGACAGGGCAAGGCTCTAGAATATATTGATGGGAACAAACCCAAGTCCTTACTAGCCCTAATGATGTCACCTAGTTTGGGTAATAAAATGTCTGCAAAAAAAATAGCCAGGCTCAGATAGCAACAAAGACCCCTCAAAATAAGTATTGTTGGAAGTTGTTTCCTTGGGAGGGAGTTTCCTCTCATACTGTTCTTGACATTTTGCCAGGAAGATCTGGAGAGCATCACTCTGGAGGCCCCAGATGAACATCAGCCTAGCAGGAGTTTAACAATCAAGGACCTGAGGCTGACCAAGCCAGGGAACATAAAAGGCAGCTGGAGGCATGAGCTGAGCAGGCCACAGATCCAGGACCTTCTCCCAGCCCTAGAGTGTGTCATCTTGAGCACTGAGCACCACAAATATGTTGTGTGAAGCTTCTTGCCTGCAAAGAGCATTCCCACTCTTGAATGCCTGCACTCCGGGCAAGCTCTATTTATGCATGATTGTCGTGCAACAGCCCTGAGCAATAAATAGCAGATACTAGAGGATTAGAAAGAAGAAGGCAGTCCAGCAGTCCCAGAATTTAAATATTACTAAACTAGTTGTTTGGGTTGAATTATAAAATGGGTTACAATCATGATGTGGTTAGATTTCTTCAACTAGGGGAACAGGACTTGGAATAATAAATGTTTAGGATAAATGCTTGTCCCTGATGTTTGGAATAAGTACAGAAAAAGAATTTGTTCAAGTTTATTACCACTTGCCTTTTTATTATTTATTTTTATTATGAAGAGAAAAGCAGAAAGAAATTTATTCAATGGCAAAACAATAAATCATAATTAAGATTTCTTCATTAATAAGAGAAAGGTAAAATCCACTGAGACTTTAAAAGAACTGTCAGAACAAAGAGATGTGGCTGAATTTGATGTGACAATTTGAAAAGCTCATTGAACAAAATTTGAAGCATTTACTGGCCTTATTTCTAAAATGCTGGTGAAACCCTAAACAAATGATCAAAAAGATGATCAAAAAGATACAGAATTTAGATATAATAGGAATGCAAGTGGGAAAGAATATTAAATTCATACCACATATTGTACTTAGAGAAAACTGGTAAAAGATGTTTTACTATTGACGTATTACTCTAAAATAGAAAAAAAGTATTTTCTAAAAATTGTTGAAAATGCAGTGATCAAGTTGTATTATACTTCCATACTTGATTATTCATACTAGAATGAAGCAAATTTTGAATTGCCTTTTCAACTTGCTATTTTTTGTTATTGTTAAATATTTTTCTATTACACTTTTCTACAAAAATATTAAACTAGATCTGTGTTTGCTAATTGCTGCAATAACACTTTACACTGCCCATGGAAAAGTACTCTTACTCAGTAGTGAAATTCAAAATATTTTACTATCTTTCACTTTCTGTGGGCGTGGCTTGGTGGCCGTGATAGGGGAAGGATATTGCAAACAGAGGTGGCATTTGCCAGTTCTCCAAACTACTCAAAATTTCCGCTACCGGTTCTCCAGAACCTGCCAGAACCTGCCAAAACCTGATGAATTTCACCCCTGCTCTTACTCCTTAATCTTGCAAAAAACCAAAAATCCTAATTAAACTCTGGGGGTATTTCTCAATGTCTAAAATAACCTGATAATTTAAAAGAAAATATGACTCAGATTTTAACTCAACTTGGAAACCAGTTTTGGACTTTTAACTCTAACTTTTCATGAGAGGGGAAGCTATATAAATTTGATTAATAAATAAATAGGCTTGTACTACATCTGATTTTATGTTATATGTTAACATAAAATCTATATTGCTTGAACAGTAGTGACTAATTCATAATCTCACTTTATGATTTATAATGGCTTGACTATTGATTTGTTAAGATACATTACTTGGATTTTAACAAGATTGGTAGTTTGGTTACTGAAACTAATTAATAACATATTGAAAATTTAAACTAATTTCATGATACTTGTAAATCTCCTGTTTATGTAATTTGTGCTTCAGCAACTGATAATGCTTGTGCAATTATAGAAAACTGAAAATTGTCACACATCAAAAGTTTGTTATCTCAATTGCCCTTGACTTGCTAAGTAAAAGTGAGCTAGTAAGACAGATAGTAATGACATTAACTAAAATATACCATATGTCCAAGATATGGACAAAAGTTGTTAATTCTTAAAACAGATAATATTGTAAATATTATATTTACAGGATTTCCATGAAGCTGTCTTAAAAGTGCTGGGAGATGAGTGTGATAATGATCATGAAGAAACAAAGCTTAAGGAAGGACTGAAGGAAATCCCAGAAATCTACAATTTACACCAAGAAATACTGGGGGAACTGGAAGAAAAAGTGCTTAACTGGTAAATATAATTAGATGGGGCTTTGAATGACACTTAAGGCAGTATCCCTAGCCCAGTGTTTAGAAAGTTTCACAAAACACTTCCCCTTCATAAGTTTTAGATAATCAAATTTAAGTGTGATACTGTTTGCTTATTTACCTGCTTTATCCTAAAATATAAATCCTTTACATAATGCTGCTTATCAGGTCAGCACGAAGCAGTTTCTCTGAATGTGGGTAAATTATGTTATGCTGCATGCAAAATTAGGCAGACTTTAACTGCCCATTGATAATCCACCACCAATCCTAATATTATTTTGTCAGTCTTTTATGTTTATCTTTTACTATTATTGTTGTTTTTAATGTCTTTATTTGTAATACTGGTCTGTGACCATAATAAAAATTGATTGATATAAAAGGCATACACTATGACACGGTGGCGAAGTGGTTGTTAGAATGCAAAACTGCAGGCTACTTCTGCTGGCTGCCAGCTGCCTGAAATTGGCAGTTCGAAGCTCAAGATTGACTCAACCTTCCATCCTTCCGAGATTGGTAAAATGAGGACCCAGATTGTTGAGGGCCATATGCTGATTTTATAGACAGGGCTATAAAGCACTATGAAGCGGTATGTAAGTCTAAAGCTGTTGCTATTGCTACAACTAATCCCAATCAAGAAAGTTACTGAAACAACCGTTTCATCTTCAGTAAATCCTAGGTATCTTTATTCTGTCATTCGGCTACTGTTTCATTTTTGTTGGAAAGTTCCAACTTAAAGAAATATATAGATCCTGTCTATGCTTATGAGCAAGAATCATGCTAAATCAGAAAAAATAATATACAAGCTTTTTAACTATTTTGCTTGTTAACTTTGTTGCATTTATAAAGAAACACATACTACCAGTCATATTTTATGGCTTACCAACTATTTGACCATTCCTTGCTGCATTGCCTAGCAGGTATCAGAACCAACTGGGATTTTATCAAACTGGAGCATTACAAGATATGTGGACTTACTACTGGAACAAAAGTCAATCTTTATGTGTTCAATTTCTGGTTAATATCATTAAAAAGCCCTGATGAAAAAGATTATTTGTGAGTACCTAAATTAAGTATGGAGAATTTTCTATTCCTTTTTCCCCCTTTACTCTCAATGGCTTTAGGGAAGAACATCAGAAAGTGGCTGATATTTTCCTCTCCAGAGAATCAGGATTTAATCACCACACAACTTATATAATGCAGTTTGATAGGAATTTGGCTTTGCTGGATGATGTTCGCCTTAAATCTTCCCAGCTGGATACTGTCATTAAAACGTTTGAGGTAAAGTCTCTTCATTTTTGTATCTCATGTTGATTTATTATGGGAGTTCTACTATTATCTCTCGTTCTTTCCCTCCTCTCTAAAATAGCTAAGAGTTTGGAGCATGGAAGTTGATATTAGCGATAGTTCAATTCAAGAATGACTTTAAGAAGAAAGTAAACCAGAAAGAGTACAAACATATCTTCTATGGAGCGTACAGTATATATAATATAAGTGGAGAGAGAGATAGCGAGACAGACCGAGAGAGATAGAGAAAGTCAGAGACACAGAGATAGAAAGAGACACAGAGAGAGGAAATTTTTCCATTCTCACATGCAGTGGCAACCATGGAGAAGGGAATGGCAAGAATTCTAATTCAGTAGTTATTTACTCCCTGGGTTCTCCATCTGTGATAACTGATATATACAGTAGATTCTGTGTGTTTCTTGCTCCTTTTATTTCCTTATAATTCCCTCTAAAGTATTTCCTTTTATTCCTGTAACTTTGACTGATATGGGGTATATTTGTTCCCATTTTATGCCTTCATCATCTCCAATTTTACTTTGCTATATGCATCCTTCGCTTCTGCTTCTCTTTTTCTTTCATTCGAAAAGTATTAATGCAAAAATATTAGTGTATAAAAGCATGCAAAAAGATTTACATCTTTTTTATTTCCATAAGTTACTGAATGTTAAATTATGGATGCTCAGTTTACATCAGAATAATAACCTGAACGTGTGTCTCTCATGTCTAGGTCCAGCTCAAAATGTTTTGCTGGCATATTCATGTAGCCCTTAACTTCTGCACTGGATTGATACTTTACATTTTTTTTAATGCAATTTAGCCTATAATTTTTTCCTTCTCTTTTTCCTGGTTTTTTTCTGAAGCAGATCTTTGCTTAGAACTATAGGCAAGAGTTAGGACCAGTCAGGACCATCCTCAAATAAATTCCAACTGTACACATGAATGACCTCTTACCTGCATATAATCTTCCCCTCACCAGTTGAATGGTTTCACTTGTGAATTAACTCCAATTCTATTTTAGAAAAAAAAATGTACATACTCCAACTTCTCTTTCTGCTTCTTGCTGGATGGCTGGTGTGACTTCTAACAGTGCAAATATATGTTTAATTTTAGTTTGAATATATATCACTTTTTTATTTGTAAAGAGGAGAGGAGAAGTGGCAACGTTTACTTAACAGACAAAAAAGAATATGAGAATAAATTGGCTACTTTCAATTTTGCTTTGGCTGTCCAAGCTGCTTAAAATATGGAATATGTCTCCCTCTGCAGCATATATAAAATACTAGTAATGATAATTTATTAAAACAACCATTTATCAACGTTTCTTGAATATATTCATCTGTCTGAAAATTATATGGAATCTTAGATGAAAATGCAGGTATCTAATTTGCAATAATTGTTTTTTGAATTATCTAGAACTATAATGCCTTGTGGGTTGCACTTTCTTGATGCCAGAGAGTGTAGACAAAACTTTTATCATTTTTTTTTCCTGGCTCAAGAAAAAGAAGAGTTATAAGCAAATGTTCACTAAAGCATATGATGTTTTAGCATGCATAAAGCGTAGACTTCAGCTGGTATACTACTTACAACAACACCCCAGAAAATCTTGAAAGCAGATATTTTGTGAGGGATAGTGAAAAACCGTGTGTGTGTGTGTATGTACACACACACACACACATACATACATACACATATATTCAACTCAACTAAATAGTGATCAGAAGAAGGACATATATGCATGTAGATTGCTTCCTTAATTAATTCCTTAATTAAGGGCACAATGGCTCAGAGGTTAAAGACACTGAGCTTGTCAGCCGAGCACCATGCAACAGGATGAGCTTCCATTCCTGCCCCAGCTCCTGCCCACCTAGCAGTTCGAAAGCATGCAAAATGCAAGTAGATTTAATAGGCCACTTCAGTGTGAAGGTAATATAGTGTTCCAGGCACCTTTGGCATGTAGTCATTCTGGCCACATGACCACAAAAAATGTCTGTGATCAAGGGAATACTGATTCCCTTGGCCAAGAAACAGAGATGAGCATCACGCCCTAGAATCGGACATGGATGGACGGAGAAACCTTTACCTTGCTTCCTTAATGAGAGAGAAAATTGTAACTGTTCCATAATGCCCCTTGATAAGAAAATATTTTTTGCACATGAATCAGATCCCTACTCTCAATCAGGATATATGAATGATGGATTTAGCAGGCACTGGACCTAGGATTATCAATCCTGTATTGTTTATGTGAAGGGGTCCTTTGAATTCCTTAAAAACGCATCCTAAGGCACTTCCGATGCTCACATAGTAATAGGCAGAGCAATGCTGTGTTTGCAGTTCATGGGAGTTTCCTTGCTGGTCCAAAAATACTGTCTCAGCAGTATTTCCTCAAATTCCTTTGAAGCTGTAGAATGGGTGCATTCCAGAGGTGGGTTCCTACTGGTTCACACCAGTTCGGTGGAACCGGTAGTGGAAATGGCAACTGGGTCTCTGAACCGGTAGGAACGGCATGCTCACCACGCCACTGAACCGGTTCCCTGTTCACCTCTACATCTTTTTTTGACCTTTTTAAATGTTCTGCGCATGCACAGACCTATTTATATGCAGCTGCGCATCCACGCAGAAACCCACCCCTGGTGCATTCCCATTGGTAGAAACTCCTCTTTTCCTCTACTACCAATTTAATCTTTCTATTTTCTTATAGCTTAAGGTGTCATGGTACTTTGACATCATCTCTCTCCTCCCCAGCTCTCCCAGCATTCCAAAGCACTGTGGTGTGAGATTTCCCCAAATCTCTGTCATCATCACTACTGAATGTATCCAGATATTTTCCCCATGTTCAATGTTATTCCGCACACACCAATGGCACCAGTCTGGGATTGTACCCCATCCCTAGTTGCCATAGTTTTGAGAAGCACTCATTAAGCTCTTGTTTGCCCAGTTTTCACTATTTGTGTCCCTGAAAAATATCTCAGTAGTTGTTATCTGATCTGTTTTCCAAAAGAGTTTTGATCTTTTTTTTAAGCTTAGCTTCTTTAGGAGCAGGGGTGGGTTTCAACCGGTTCGCGGCGGTCCCCGCAAACCGGTTGGTCGGCGAACCTGGAAGTAAGTAACTTCCGGGAAC